AACATTAACCCTTTATAGGGAAGTTAGTGTATTTGATCTCTTGCATACCCCTTACAAATAGAGTCCCTCCTCCATCCCTCACTGAGGTCTAGAAGCACAAGATCTATATCCAGCCATTCAGCAAAGATCCTGCTACATGGCTGTACATCTTATTTTGGCATTTGACCAATTAGATGAGCCCTTGAATGATATATTACATACACTGGAAAAATTATCCAGAAACAAGTAAAAAAAAGAAGTTAAATGAGATGATTTGCCAATGGAATGAGTATTCTTACTCTTAAAATAAGATAATTAGATAATATGCACTTGAAACAAGACAATCCAGTTGTTTTCTTATTTAAAATCTAAATTGTCTTGTTCCATTGGCAAAATGTATCTTTCAAAATGTATATCACTGAGAGCTCTATAATGAGTTAAGCCATAAAAAGAAAAAAAAAAAGAAAAAAAAAACGGTCAGTTCAGGCGTTTTATAAAATACATGAACCGGTGAATTATCTTTATACCAAAGTGAAGGATTGTTTTTCTCTACTTCAAAAACAATTTAGATTTTCAAATTGAAAAACTTTCTATTTTTTTAATTCTTTATTAAAAAAGTTATTGTATAAAATGGATACAAAATACCTGCTTTTTATTTCAGTGTTAAATTCGGTTTATAGAAAGGGATTATAATTAAAAATGGCTCCGGACAGTTACTGGTTGATGATTTTCTTTATTGGGGTCCTGCTGATGTTTAATTGGTTAGCCCTGCTATAGAGGACCGATCCAGCTCACCCTGCTGTCTCCCAGGTTGGCTGCATACACCATGTCGTCCACCACCAGGACACATGTAGCCGTAGATCCGTCCTTCCAGGCCGGCTTCCTGTTCACAGAAACATGGCTGCATCTCAGCTCTGAGACAGAAAAAGAAACTAAGAGTTTCTTTGTCAGATCTGGAATCTTACTGGCTGGATGCTTTTTTCAGGAAGTCTTCATCTGTCTGCCGGAAAGTGTCCAGGAGACATTTCTTCAGTAGCTTGTCCAGATTCTCATTGTCTCCTGAAACAGAAAAAAAGGGCTGAACCAGAGCAGACTGTCGTCCATCTGAGGGTTTCCCTGAACTTCTGATCCAGACTTTGGCTTCAGGAGAAGCGAAATCCCAGCAGGAAGAAACCTCACCAGTGGGGAACTTCTTGGCCAGATTCAGGTGAAGGTTTTCTGCAGCGTATCGAGACGCTCGAGCTCCGCCGTGACCATCAAACACGGCAAAGTAGGAGACCCGAGACCTGCGGAGAAAAAGAGACACAGACAGCAGCTAAGAGGCTCCTCGCCTGAGAACAGGTGGAAACTGAACAGTTAAAATCCAGAAACCACAAAGAAATCCAGACTACAGGAAGGAACCAGGACCAGATCAGCATTTTGGCTGAAAGGTTGGATCAGAGCGTATTGGGAAGGCTTACACGTGTCCTGGCAGCGAGGACAGACAGCTGCTCATGTCGGGTAGCAGCACATGAGCGTCCTGCATCTCCTCACGTTCCCCGCGCCTCGCCGCCACGTAGCCTTTGAGCCGGGGAAGATCTGCGGGAAACAAACAGAGCGGGTCCAGCTGCTGCGGCGCCTCGTCTTACTCAGCGTCTGAGAGCTTTGATCAGAGCAAAGGAAGAAAACAAACATTGTGCTGCAACAGCTGAAAACCTTCTCTACAAACTTTCTTGATCTCATCCTTCTCCTCTTCCTCCTCGGCATCCTCTCGCCTCCGCTTGAACTTTCTGTCCTCCTCTTCATCCTTGGCGACCTGCGGCTGAGAAGCGACGGCGGATGGAGCTGGAGACCGAAAAGAAAAACATTCAAAGAAAAGAATGTGGCTTCCATTGATCACCCACTGCCTCTGCAGCTCGTTTCTCTTGTCCGTCTGCCTGTTACTATTTCTTTAGTTTGTTTCCTACAACTGCTCCTCTTAAGCCCCATTTACAGCACGCTCTGAAAACCGATCCGTGCAGAGCTCAGATCAGTTAACCGTGCTGAGCTCGGCTCCTTACGACTGTTTAAGGCCAATTTATGCTTCTGACGCATAGCCTCTGCAACTGTCAAATCTGCCCAAGTGCGCGACCACGCCCCCCCGCTAACAGCTACGCGTCGAACGGTCGCAAACCCACGCAGACCTCAAGCGGAAGTGCGCAGACAAAAAGCAGCTGTCATTGGTCCTTGGTGCCTTTACAGCTGTCTATGTGGTCGTCCTTCTCGATTCGGTGCCGGAGCGCGCCATTTTTAAAAACCGAGGAAAACTACAATGGACAACTATGACGAAAGGTTAATCCAGGAAGTTCGGAAATAAAAGCACTTGTACGATGCCTCAGACAAATTATATAAATAAATATATCCTCTTCGATGTCTTCCAACTCTAGATACATCTCCATGACCATGATATCTTGCAGACTCGCCATTGTTGTTTTGGAAGATAAACACTTCAGCCAGCGCCGCCAAAGTTCTGACGAGTTCTTGAATAGGCTCCCCCTTGCGCTTTGGTGGGAAATGGCTGTGCGTCGCCAGACCAACGGTGCAGAAGCATACCAGCAAAACTGGTTTGCGACCAGATCCAAGCGACGTTTGATGTGTGCGGTTACAGAAGTCTAATCTGCCATTTATACACCACGCTAGCACGGTTCCTCGCCTCCTATTGGCGATCTATGGTACTACTGCTCTCTAGAGGGAATCAAGCAAACCAATATGGCGGCGCACATAACATTCAGGAAATGTTGTTATAATTGTGATGTTTCGTTGTTTGCGGAGAGTCAGGTGCAGAAGGCAGCCTTTGGTGAATTTACTTGGCAGAGTCGACTTTTTGGAAGTGGATACGACAAGCGATAGTCTAATCAGGGCTTACAGACGCAGGAATAAAACGACAGGTTGAGGTTCATCACACTGCTAAGCAGAATCATCACTGGAAATCCTTCCAAAAAATTAAAAACCATCCACTGGACTTGGTGTCCGAGTTTGAAGACGTTTCGCTTCCCATCCAGGAAGCTTTTTTAATTCAAAATTCCAAGAAGAGCGTTGAGTTTGAGGTTTATACAGCAGCCCAACAAAACCTTGTTTTTGTTTTGAAAACATGCAAATTGGGACAAAGGGGTCCAATCATTTGGAATGGGGGTCGTTTGGCTACTTTTGTTAGACTGCAATGCCCCATACCCATCTAAGTGTCTGAATGGTTGGTCGTTAAAAAAAAAAACGGTAATGTAAAGGGCTGGTTATCCTCCCAAAGCACTGTGTCGCAGTGAGCTTGTCGCAGATATTTTAGATTTATGCTAGGGGTGGAACGGTTCACAAAATCCACGGTTCGGTTCGATTCACGGTTTCTGGTCACGGTTTTCGGTTCGATACGATACATGTTGATTGTTACACCAAAATTCCATAAAAAATTATGAAATTAATGAAAAAATCCCCCCAAAAATAATGGATTGTAATTATTTTAAATGATCCGCGGAAACCCTGGATCATTTCCGTATGTTTTGCTGCTTTGAATTTAATCATCTGGTGCATGCTCTCTAACCTGACAACAGCCAGATGCATGTCTCGCTCATGAGCGAGACATGCATCTGGCTGTTGTCAGGTTA